GTGTGTGTGTGTGTGTGTGTGTGTGTGTGTGTGTGTGTGTGTGTGTGGCTTTAGCTATATATAACATGCAGTTTCAAAAAGATAACACAAAACAAAAGGTTGACTATTATACAACAACATTTCATGATCATAAAGCCAAACCTAAGGCCCCAAAACTTTAATTGGGTGAATATCAATACATTATTTGTCTTGTTACAAATATGAAAAAATGCAAATATTGGTGAAATATTAGTCCAGCATTTGTAACAGACCTGACACCAATGTAACACTGACACTCTTCACAACACGAGTCTCCAAGTTTTTCTTCTGTTTCTTCATCCACTACCATGAAAGTGCTCTCATCACCCCCATTTATACAGTTTAAGTACATGTACATTCATAGATAAATTAGTTCATTGCAAATGACAGGACAGGAACATAAGCTTTCAGTATGGTATGTTTGTACTGTTTAAATCACAAGTAAATCATGCATAAAAATGGCCATTATAGTTCAGAATTATTGGCTGAAGTCATAACTCAGATGGATCACTGAGCATTAAACCACGCACATAAAAGTGGCATTGTTATGGGTTGATGTTATCAGTTTTCATATCCAGCCCAATGTGCAGATGTCGACATATACCCTTTTGCTAATTTGGGTGCTCCAGGTACAGATATGGCACCATGTTGGGCTGTGAAAAATGAATGATCATCTTCATGCCACCATGTTTGTGTACCTGATTGCATTGTGTATTGTCTTCTCAAGAGTAATAAACATAAAACGACATAAAAGCATGCTGAACTTTACAACTATGCAAAAACCCCACTTCTTGTTCTTGAGCCTCCCTCCTCCAGTTCCTCCTCAGAGTAAGAACTATAGTTCCCTGTTCCTCCTCCAGCATGCCTCATGAAGCCTACGGAGCCTAAAGAGCCTGCCCTCAGCACTTCCATCTCCTCTTTTTCATTCTCCTCATCCCCTTCTATCTCCTCTTCATCCTCCAGGCTCGAGCTGTGTGAATCACTCTGAGGCTTGGTGCTGTGAATATCCCTTCCAGCTCTTTCTGTGTCAGTCAGTGGCACTGCTTGGTCCTTGACTTTGCGACTTCTCTTCCACTTCATACGTCTGTTCTGGAACCAGATCTTAACCTGGTGAAATACAACAGGAATCATTACAGTTAAACCGTGTAAACATATTTAGTTATGTGGGGTTCAGGGTGCAAAAATGTGTTTTGCTTCTCTGAAGGGATTTGTTGCAGGGGATGGGAAAGAATTCTGAAAAAGCAGGGCGCCATAACCCTTTCTTAAGATGAGGAAGGTAAGCATTACAACTTGACAGTGACTTGGAAGGATGTGAATAAAGGGAATACACTCACACACTACAAATGTATATGATACAATATTCAATACAGTACATCCTGGCTCTGCCTCTCTCACCTGAGTCTCAGTCAGCATGAGTGAAGTGGCCACCTCAAAGCGCTTAGGCCTGGACAGGTACTTGTTGAGCTTGAACTGGTTTTCTAATTGCAGCAGCTGCTGGCTGGTGAAAGCTGTCCTGGGCCTCCGGCACTTCCCCAACAAACCTGCCTGGACCGGGACTGAAAACAGAGAGAGGCAGAGTCAAACAGTAGCAGAGAGTTTGCTTATTCTGTCCATTTGTCATTATTTACATTTTTTCATTTTCATCTAATAAACCTGCTTACTACTATTATGGATAGTGGGCCTATAATCAACAGAAGCCTATGAGCGAAAGTAAGAAAGAAAAAAAAAGCTTTCATTGGACGGATATTTTTCAAAAAATCTACAAACGAATCCTAACGAAATCTACTAGTTTGGTTTCCCTTAAGGCCCATCTGCCTGTCTGTCTGTCTTCCCGCCTGTATATCTTGTCCGTGAGCATTTATTGCCATGATGTGAGGTCGTGGTGAGAGGATATTGCTTTGGCAGGGTAATAAACCATCACAGGAGACCATTACCTTAATGAAAACATTGTAAATGTTATCAATTGATTAAGTAGGTCTATTTCAGGTGTTACCTTTATACCGTAAATATTGCATGTTTTTTATGATATACATTGTCCTTAAGAGATAGCATCTAAATAGCACGGCCCTTTCAAAACCAATACCAACAGACAGGTGTTAGGAGGCTCGATAAACATTAATAAATTGGCTGTTGACCTTACCATAACAAAAAGAAAATGACACAGCATCTGCTTATGTCAAATAACATTTAAATCAAAGGGAAACAAATGTATGATCCATTTAATTTTAATTAGGGCTAAGCTGGAGTAGTTGTTATGTCCTGCATTTAAAAAAAAAGATTTGTAAGGCCATTTGTGTAAAAAGCATTTAAGCATATACACATATTTTATAAATGAGAAGAATTAATACAAGAAACATGACTTCAACAAAAATTTAAATAAAAAATATTTAATATTTCAAATTACATAAATATGGTATAGGTCTTTATTGGTAGCTACTGTATGGTATTACATGATTATAATTCATTTTATCAATTTCATTTAATAATGCACATTTAAACATAGTATTAGTAGTATTAGTAAGACTAGTATATAATTATTATTATTGTTTTGAATCTTAGCTAACTATGGCCTTTGGATCAACCATGTCATTTTTAAGGTTAACCTCTGAAACATCATGCATTTTAGTTCTCTCACCATATGGTACAGGAAGTAGAATGATCAAGTTCAGGAAACACGGAGATTCGCTTACCTCCATAATCGCCGAGTCTGGGTATCATCATCCCGGCTCTGATCCAAGGATCCAGCGGGAGCGTCGCCATGGCCCCCTTCAGCTGCTCAGGGTATGGCTGGACCAGCTGCGTAAAACTGGGGTATATGAAGGCGGGGTGCTGGCCTCCGAGGGCTGCCAGAGGATACATGGAGCCCGGGTGCATTCCGAGAAGACCCGCTTGGTGCAAAGCAGCGAAGCCTGACTGGGACAAGCTGAAGAGCTGTGATTTGGATAGGACTCCCGGCAGGGCTGGAGAGGAGTTTGTTGGGTACGGATGAGGGGAGGGCGTCTCTGAGCCGCAGTTGGACACCGGACTGCCGTCGGGACTTCTGCTGTAATACAACCCTGGGGACGCACCATCACTGTCCGTCCTCTGCTCCACGTCGTGCGCCAGTAGCGCATCAATACGAAAGTTTTTAGATTTCTCCATGGTGCTAGTCATTCTGTAAATTTCATAAACTTTGAAGTGAAGTGTCTCTAATTTCTGAAGACACAAACTTGTCAGAAACTGCTATATTCTTACTACTTTTCCTTGGAGAGAAATTTATTTTTTTCTGACCCACTCCTCTTAGCGTCTGTGTAAAAAAAACACTTCGCTCACTCCAGCAGAGAGCTGGGAAATTACTCGCACCCAATAGCACTATAAAGTCTGCTGCGTCGTGATTGGTCAGAGCCCCACAAGGGCAGGGTATATGCTCTTTCTTTTGAAGGGTTGATTTTAGGCATTGGTGCACGCCTGCACGTTGCATTCTACAAATACTATTCAATAGTCCTAATTCTTTACGTTTCATTCTTTTTTAAACATTCACAATCCTATCATAGAAGGATAAGTGCATGTGTGTGACTTTCTATCTTTTAGTCTGCCTGTTATCTGTCTGGCAGTTTTACCTCCATTATCCTCCCTGTCTCAGGTGTGATTGAGGTGTAACTTCAAACACACAGTTGAACACTATATTGCGTTGATTACTGTAATCTCATATGACGAAATTCATCTTTTTACAACTCAGTCTTCATTAAATTTTATTGCCTGCTAAGGTTGACAGAAACCCAACGGTTCTTATCAGTGGTTGCTGCTATGATTATCGGTCATCACCACACCATGGAGCAAATAATGGGGCAGTAAACTAACAACAGAGTAAACTCATTGTCTCTCCTCGCAGAGTCACACACAAAGTATGGACAGGTGAGACAAAGTCCTGTAGCAGCTGTCTGGCACTAACTCCATCACAATACACATTGTAATATGCAAGGATTCTTATAAAAGGTAGTGGGATTTGTGCATAGCCCATAACTTATTTAATATTTTTGGGCTTTTATTGTGTTTATTAGAGCAGCTGGAAAATGACAGGAAAGGGGGAGAAGAGAGGGGACGACCTGCAGCAATGGCCGCAGGATGTAAGGCCGCTATAGTCCATAACTGGATGAAACTGTACATTGCAATGTTTTATATACATAATTCTGCATACAGTTTTGCAAAAGACATCTTCTTGTCAACCTAAAGCTGTTTCTTACCTCATCTGGAACGATATCTCAATGTACTTCAGATGAACCTGTTCTGCTTCGCCCACAGCGTCCAAACTGCATCTATCTGCCACAGTTTAACCAGTGGGGATTTCCTGCTGGTTCATACTGGACTGATAAGAGACAGTCAGAGGCCTGGGAAAACAAACTGCTCTCACTTCAAAGACAAACACACCAACACCTGCTGAGCTACACAACATATCAACTTAA